GCTCACCTTTAGTCTCTGCTCTGCAGCTATCATGCTATAATAAGCACGTACTGTACTGGGGATACCATAGCTCTGATCTCCTCTTCTGTTGGTAAACGAAAATCAGACTTCACCAGGATTCGCCCACCAGTTTGAATCCATCCCTCGAAAAGATACTGGGAAACTGTTCTGAATTCTAAAGACCCAAAAGCATTAGTATACTAAACATACAGTGAAACAAGAAATGCCCTATATACTATTCAACAAACCCCCTGCTGCAAAATTTCTTACATCTTATGTAAGATATGCAAATACTCACATGGACTTTATTAGTAACCAATTATCATCAAATTATCAAAAAAGCCTTCTCATTTTGACAGCCATTAATTTCTATTCTATTAGCTATCATTTCTTTTAACTGAAAGTTGTCAATCTTTGGGATTATGAGCGCAACAGAGAAGATAAATAGTCACATTGATGACCTGTACGTTTGAAGTCAGCACAGAGCTTTAGCCTCTTCTGGATGTTGCTTTCTGAATGCGACGGAAAGGCTTTCTTTATATCTTCCATCCGGATCCTCCATGGCCTATCTTTACTCTTCCAAAACAGGCAGTAAATAAAAACCCGTCTAATGAACCAAATTCATTTTATTAGATAAAGGATAAATGTCTTCACCAGGGACCCTTCCCCAAACTAAGCTCAGATGTGTTTTCATCTTTCTATTAGCATGGGCATCTTACACCAACTCCAACTTTACCTGCAGAAACTCTTGGATGTGTGTATTGGCCCTTTTGGAGTTAGGACCAGGAACTTCAAACAAGGGACACTGCTGGCACCACAAAAATACCCACTAATTCTCGAATATAGTAGCCCTGCCTTGTTTGAATGATCAGGAAATCAGTCTCTGGCATCTTATGAAGATAAATTGGAGCAGGAAAAAGGTTGTTCTTAAATGCCTAATGAAAGTAAATCACAAAAGTCATTTACAGAGAAACTCTAGAAAATTCAGCCAACTATTGAAAATGGAAAGAATTTACTTTGATCTAAAGTCTGTACAATAAAATAAGCAAATTAAATGGAAGATTAAAAACAAGATTTTTTAATTTTTTTTTCTACCCACTGTCTTTTAGAATCTAACAGTCAACACGAAAAACTTTAAAAACAGAGCCAGGAATGGAAATGTATACTTGAAATCCACCATTTGGGGGTGGGAGGGAAGGCAGGAGGATCAAGGCCATCCTGAGCTATATAGTAAGTTCCAGCCCAGCCTGAGCTATGGCAGGAGATTGTCTCTCAAGGAAGAAATGAGTCAAAACCTGGCATAACGGTATAGTCTGTAATGCCAGACTTTGTTATGAAAGCCAGGAAGATTAGGCCTCAAAGCCAGCTTTGTCTATATAGTAAATTTGAGACCAGCCTGGTTGCATGAGGAAACCCCTCCCACAAAAAATTTAAAAAAATGGGGCTGAGAGACAATTTAGTGGGTCAAGCGCTTACTGTACAAGTATGAGAACACGAGTTTACATCCCCAGCAGTCACATAAAAAAGCTGAGCACAGAGGGTTATTATCCTGGCGGTGGAAGAAAGAGGAACTGTGGAGACAAGAAGATCCTATAAGCCTGCTAGCCTAAGCAGAACTGTGAACTCTTGGATCTATGAGAGATGATGCCATCTCAAAAAATAAGGTAGTGAGTAATACAGGAAGATACCAACATTGACCCCTGGCTTCTTCCCATGCAGACAGCACGCATTCTCTCTCTCTCTCTCTCTCTCTCTCTCTCTCTCTCTCTCACACACACACACACACACACACACACACACACACACACACACTAATTAATGGTACTGGAGGAAAGGTGTTACAACACATAGCCATAATCCTAGCATTTGCAAAGCAGGAGCAAGAGGATCAGGAGTTCAAGGTCATCCATGATGGCTACATAGCAAGTCTGAGGCAACACAGGCTATATGAGAGAGTTCTTGACACAAACAGTTTAGATTCAGAACAAACAGCCTTTGCCAGTCACTGTATGAAGCCACACAAGTCAAAGTTTCTGAGCTTAAGTTTTCTTAGCTGCGCAGTGCAGGACACTTAAAATGTCTATATTCCATAGTCTGCTTTGAAGAGCTTCATAATTAACACAGTAATATTCTCCTAAACTACAGTCTCACACACAAGAGGTGATGATGAAATAATTTAGAACGATATGGTCCTACTGAAGCCCAGAGAGACTCAAAATCAAGACAATTCTCCTGTATCACTCAGACTGTTGAGTATTAGGATTACAGGCATGCTACCATCATACCTGCCTTCAGAAGACTTTCTTATACATTAGCTGATTAATTAAAAAACAAATCAATGAAGCGAAGTATGTATGCTAAGAGAACACGACAAACAAAAACACAGAAGTGCAATTATACAGAAATATTTGAGCTAGAAGTAGAAGCTAGATAGGGATTAACTGTTACAGGCTTTGAATCAAAAGAGAGGCATCTCCCACCACCAAAAAGTCCTAAGAGAGGTAGAGAGAGGGCTAAGCAGTTAAAATCGAGTGCTGCTCTATTCTGAGGCCTGGAGATCTAATCTCATCATCCACATCTGACAGCTCACAAATACCCATAATTTTAGATGCAAGGAATCAGACACATCTTCTTCTATTTCCACAGGTGAACTCACATGCATGCATACCCAAATAATAAATTTTTTTTGTTTTTTTGAAATAGGATTTCTCTGTGTAACAGTCCTGGCTATCCTGGAACTTACTCTGTAGACCAGGCTGGCCTCAAACTCAGAGAGATCCACCTGCCTCTGCTTTTTGGATGATGGGATTAAAGTAGTGATCACCACCACACAGCTTAAAGGTAAATTCTTTTAAAACCCTAATAATGAGTGTTGGAGGGATGGCTCAGCGGTTAAGAGTACTTGCTGATTTTCCAGAGGACCCAAGTTCAATTCCCAACACCCATACGGCAGCTCACAACTCTCTGTACCTCCAGTTCCAGAGGATCCAATTTCCTCACAGAGACAGAACAACAAATTCAGAATTTTTTTTAAAAAAATCCCTTTTTTAAAAATCCTAATAATGAACATTGGTGGAGATTTTAAATGCTTTTTTTGGTGGGGTGGTTTTGAAACAAAGATTCTGTGTATAGTTCTGGCTATCCTAGAACTAGCTCTGTAGACCAGACTGGCCTCCAACTCAGAGATCCACCTGCCTCTGCCACTTAAGTGCTGGCATTTAAGGTATGAGCCACCACCACCTGATTGAGAAATTAAATTCTAATCATTCATTGTAGATAGAATTACCAAAGATAGTAAATAATCTTCCAATTTTAATTACATTTTTCATTTATTTACATTGTCTATGTGTGTGTACATGTACACAAGAGAGCACATGTATGTTAACAGTATAAGCCAAGTGAACAGCTTGCATGAGTCAGTTCTCTCTTTGCACCATGTAAATCCTGGTATGTCATAGTACTGTATCACAGCAACAGAAATCTTAAGACAGAAACTGGCAACAGGATCATAAGCTATGGCTGTGACATACCTGACTAAGTGTTTTTTGGAGGGTTGTAAAAGGAGTTTGGAACATTGGACTAGGAAAGCTCCTGAGAGCTCAGAGTCTAAGCAGCTGTTCTATGGAAACTCTGAAGATAATGCAGAGAACAGTGAAGATGATGGGGACATGGCTTCTCAAGTTTTGGACAGAAGTTTACAAATCCCTCAAAGACTATCAGGGCCACTTGTGTTGAAAGACCCCTGCCTCACCCTAAGTTAAATATAGCTATGAGAAACTCTGTAGGCTAGGTGGGGAACTGGAAAATTACTGAGAAACCTAGCTGTGTCACCCACTTGGGATATCTGCGGTCAGGCTGCCCCAGTCAAACTAAAAACAGTTTGTGTTAATCACCCTCATGGATATCTGTGAGACTGTTTCAGTTAAGATAGAAAAAAACAAAATAACAGGTGGCGGGCCACGTCAAGGGGTCATCATAACCCCCTTGACCACCCAGTTCCTGGAATCTTGGTGCCCCTGCCAAACTTTGACGCAAATCGTGGTCTCATGTAAATGTACCAATCAGCCCCCTGTAACCATGCTTCTCGCTTCTGTACCAGTGCTTCTGCTCTAAAACCCTATAAAAACCCCAGCTTCCCATCTAGGGGGCGCGAAAGTCTCTTGAATGACTTTTCGCCCCGGGTACCCGTGTATCAAAATAAAAGCCTCTTGCTGTTTGCATCCGAATGGCCTTGTTGTTCCTTGGGAGGGGGTCTCTCAGACGGAAGATACCCTCCGGGGATCTTTCAGTGTGATGTTTTGAAGAACCCCAAAAGGGAAAGATCCAGCTGACCTCTATGTGCACATGTATCTACACACACACACTCATACACACAGTGTAAAAAAAGAAAAGAAACTATAAATGTTGTCACTAAAGGAGATGGGCCGGTTAAAACCCAACAAGAAACCTCAAAGAAAAGTACAGTAACAGGCAAGCCAACAATAATCAGAATCTGCTGAGAGGGGCTAAGGGTATGACTCTGTAGTAGATCAATTGCTTTGCATACACAAGGCTCCAGGTTTAATCCTCCAGCACTACCTGCCCCCACAAACCTAGAAGGAAATGATTAAAAAAGGAACTTTGCAGCGCACATGAGCTAACAATAGTAACAGTGAAATAAATAAGTAAGATGTAAGAATAAAGGAATGCTTCACTGTGGACACTGCCACACACTTAAATCCTATCACACCTGTAATCCTATCACTTGGGAGACGGAGCCAGGAGGATTGCTACAAGTTCAAGGCCATACTTGTCTATATGCCAAGTTCATGCTCGCTTCTAGACTACAGAGTAAGTCCCTGTTAAAAAAAGAAAGAAAGAAAGAAAGAAAGAAAGAAAGAAAGAAAGAAAGGAAAGAAAGAAAGAAAGAAAGAAAGAAAGAAAGAAAGAAAGAAAGAA